CTATGATTCAACAACAACATTTAAGCAATGTCAGACTATCTACAACATTTAACCAATGTCAAGCTATCTTACGACAACTGCGCAGTGTCCAAATTAACAACATATAAGCCCTGTCAAGCTATCAACAACTCTAGCATAGTGGATACTACTCAAATCACAAGCTTTTCAATAAATCACAAGTTTCTCAACAAAACATATTTGATCCATAGCTTAAGCAACTCAACTCAAATCAATTCAGCAAAATTGGTTTCTCACATATAAGAGAATAAACTTGGTATATCATATACTTTTACTTCCAAGTATTATGAAAGAGTACACTTCACCTTTACCACTGACAGATACATTTCCTTTCTTTACGGTCAATCCCTATGCGTAACCGAGGTAGTAGCCTCCGACCCTAACAGTTAACACATAGATTAATGCAAATCAGTATCGAATCAAAAATAGATTAACTAATGAAAATCAATGCACAAGAATGTATTTCTTAACGTTTCGTATTCACCACAATTGCATCGTTTTGGACCACTGTGCATTACCGCACTCAAAACCCTAATTTGGATCTATGATTTCTAGTTTAAATTCAAGATCATCAATCATAAGTTTTAAAATATATTAATAATTCATAATTAATGTAATACATGATTTTAAAATAAATTTGAAAGACTTCGACTGATCCGAAATTGAGGAATTCTACATGCGCTGCTTTTCGATCCGAAATAGCCAAAAATAAAACGATGTTATTTTTCAATGAAATTTCATACACATATTCAATTTACATATCTAAGAATGAATATACAATTTATTTTCCAAAAATCACCCAAAAACTAGGTCAAATTGGCCTCGGAGGTCAAAATAGTCATTTTAATCTTCATTTTGATCCGGCCGTTGGATCAACTTGAAATTTTACTGGGACTTCCGCACAGAAGTTACGGAACTTTTGGCACCAACTAGAGATCAATCAGATGTATGACATGCCCTCACATGCCGTCGGGGTGCACTGGTGTACTTCATCTTCTTCTTTGGTCACTTTGACCAAAACCCTAGGCTCCTTCCACTAGCCCTAACCCCCCATACTTCTCACCCTTATTTCTCCCTACTCAATAAACCTTTTCACCTAATTTTTGATCCTAAACACTCACCACACATCACTCTAACAAAACCCATAATTCACAAGCTTCGAATTAACCTTAAACCCATAAAAAAATTGGTTAAAGTAACCCAAAAATAAGGTTTTTAGTTTATGGCCAGACCTATAACTTGCATTTTAACCATCTTTACAACTTCTAAATCCATTTCTAACATCACCAATGGATTCCTAAGGTCCATTTTAGCGAGGAACAACCTTCCCTCCAAAGCTTAACCCCCAAAACCAAGAAATCAAAAACCCACTATAGCCAAAACTTTATCACCACCACCCCATCACCTCTGACCACGGCAAGCCTTGAAATAACCACCAAAATACTCCTCTACCTCCCCACAACATAGTCATGCCAACCAAGTTAACCAAAATGACCTCAACCTCAAAACCCATTTCAGAAAAACGTAGAACCCGAAAATTTAAAACATAAATTCGAGCAATTGTAGCACATTATATGAAATTCTAATGATACCAGGAGATTTCTAGCCCTCAAATTAGTCTAGTAGCATACCTTTAATTGTTCGAAGTAGCTTCTTCCACAAATTCGAAATTCTAAATTTAATTTTTTCTCTCTAGCTTCTCTCTTCTCCCTCTCTCCTTTCTTGACGGTTCTCTTTTATCCAGAGACTTGCTGAAGTATTTAACACCTCCTCAAACACATCTGGAATCATGGAGAATGCAGGGAAAAACTCTTGTGCTGCCAGGCAGCAGCTTGGGAAGAGATGTCATGCAATGACATTTTCGTAAATAACTCAACTTTATTTTTTTTAATTCCAATTTGTTTTATAATAGATACATATTAAAACATGTACTATAAAAATATTTTTTCTATTTTTTTTCGTATACATGCATGCTCGGGTTTTACACCTTACCCCTTTTTAAACTCAAATTCAAAATTTGAGTAAAAAAAATCATTAATAACCTTCTCCAATGTTATACTCAAACTCATATTAGATCAAGAGAGACTTAAATTTTTACCCAAATCAAGGGTGACTCAAAACTATACTCAAATCACCAATAGTTAAATTGCATTCTCCTTTAAAGATTTAATGGTCATATTCTATCCTCCTTTAAATTTGAATTTGTCATCATTTAAATTTGAGTTTGTCATCTTTTAATTTGGAGTTTCTACATTTAAGTATTTTGTATCAAATTAAGGTTTTTACCCATTTTTTCACTCAAATTGGTTAAGTGTTTGGATCTCTATTGGAAATGTTTTCAGGAATTTATACTTGAATTGCGTATAAAAATTTTGATTATTTGATTTTTCGCAATTGCATGAGGCCCCAATTCGTGTGAGGGGTAGTCTACATCGGTTTTGTTCTAAACACGAATTTTTCTAACACTTGTACATATTAAAATTATTTTCACAATTATTTTGATAAACATCTTGAATTATGTGATTGGGTAAAATACTACTATGACTTTTGGATTCAACGACCGTTTCACAGAATTTTGAACTATTGATATGTTAAGCTAATGATGTGCATACAAGGTTGAGCAACAAAGGGCTCATGATCCACCTGTTCAAGTCGTAGAGGGTTTAACTAAGTCTTATCAGTCCTTAGTGGCCCCAGTGGTCTGCAAGCCTGGGGTATCAAATTTGGATTGAAGGAGTCTATCTTCTTGGGGTGAAAGCCTCTTAAAAAGTTTAGATCGTGTGAGATGATTTAGACTCGATGCAGTCATTAGGATTCTGCTCTTCGATGTGACACAACTATGATTTGATATTTCGTACGTAACAGTTGTTGATTAATAACTATTTCAATGATGCAATCATTTTGATGTATATGTGTATATGCTTAGTAGTTATTTAAATTACAATAATTAAAATGTTATGTTATTTTCAAATTGTGTTTGTTCAGAATTAGATTAACTTATGATCTGATTCTCGCTCACTCTACGTTATCTATCTCATTTTAGTGTGCGGATAATGAAATGTTAGTGTGGTGTTAGAAAGAGAGCCTAGAGTACCATGATGTCATTTGAACTTGTTTATATTTGAAATTGTAACTTATGAGAAAGATTTACTCTCTAGTTTTTTCAAATTGTGCTTTTTTATAACTCTTTTTGACACAACTGCATGTACTCACTCACTTATACCTCAAGTTAAGTTGAAACAGTACAATTTCAAGTTAAGGGCTTTTGAGTAGCATGCTTGTGTGATCTTGGACGTTATATGTTACATGTCTGACGTGATTTAGGTCGTGTCAAATTGGTATCATAGTTTTGAAAGTGTGAGCAATCCTTAACCCTTGGAATTGAATGGACCTACTGAATATATATATATAAGTTCTGGATGTACGTATTTGAGTTAAAGTGTGACGATTGAATACCACAACTTAATAAATTGCTTGAAGTATAATTATTTATTGCATTTGGAGGTTATTCCCGATCTGATTTGTATGAGAAATTATTTATTACATTTGGAGGTTACATTTACTTTTTTGACACCGTTTGGTAACTTTTTTGAATTTTTTTTTTTTATTCCCCCCTCCCCCCTCTCCTCCTCCTCCTCTTGTAAGTACTCTTTTAAGTAGTGTTTTGTTTTAGGTTTGTGCCTTTTTTTAGTTTTCCTATCCAAATTTTTCTCACTTCCTCCATATATATTTGTACAAGTATATATATATATATGTCAATTTTATTACATAATAAATAAACACATTTTTGAAAGAAATATATTTTTTTCTTAAAAAAAAAAATAACCAAACAGTCCCTTAAACTTTGAGTTCACTTTTAGTAAATTTGTACATGAACCTTTTTTTTTTATAATTTTTTTTGGCATATAACCAAAGAGCAAGATATCATGACGTGGGTCCCTAGTCACTGCATGCTTTCTTAAATTTAACTCATACCATATGATTATTTATTAAACCTTTTTGACGTTGAAAAACAACCGCAATTATGTTCATGGCCTACAAACCCTAAAGTCACGCTGATAAAAAAAAAAGTTCTAATTATATTTCTTCACCAACTCTCTCTCTCTCTCTCTCTCTCTCTCTCTCTCTCTCTCTCTCTCTCTCTCTCTCTCTCTCTCTCTCTCTCTCCATTCGGGTAAGAGTTGGTTACAAGCCTGTACAATCAATGGTCATGATTCGGTTATAACCCTTGTACAATTAATTAGGTTTCATATTTGGCACGGTGCAATGGTTAAATTTAGACCCTCTGATTTTATTCATAAAATGTTTATTCAAATTCAGATTTAACTGAAATATACTTTCAATCCCCGAATTATGGACCCCATATCGCTTCAATTTCCTTATTTTTGAGTTTCTCATATTATCTCTCAATTACTTGAATTTGCTCTTTATTGACTTAAAAACGAAGGCATAATAATTTTTAGACGAAAGATACACGTGTTGTTTCATTTTTGAGATGAAACGAATAAATAAACACATACTTGAAGATACGAAGTGACTTAACTTTCTATCAAATTGGGGTTAAATGCTATAACTTTTCATTGTATTGAATTACTATGAAATCAAATGCCATAATTGGAGACACAATGTAAAAAAAAATAACACTTTAATGGATAATATGGGATAAGGTAGGGACATAGTTAAAAGGGTTAAAGTATAATTTGCACTTTGGATTATCCGAATTCTTTGGCTAAATAAACTCTCTCAAAAACATTTTGGTCAACAAAACAAAAGGAAAGGAAGCACAGACATAACCATTGTGGCCATTGGCCAACACAACAAAAGAAAAAGGAAGCATAGGGGTAGGAATCTTCATTACTAGAAACAATGTTATCAAGTAAAAAGTACACTGCATGGTCCCTCTCACACCGCAAGTCATGCCGAAATGGAACATGTTTTTGTCACCTTAATAAGTGCTTCACCATGCAAAGGGTCCTTCATTACTCCCTTTCTCTGTCAAGCTTACCCTACCCTTATTATGCCCACGACCTTTGGTTTATTGGCTTCCATGGCTAAACCTAAACTCAACTCATCACCCTTGTTTTTCGCCTCCTTGATCTTCATTGTGATCTCGAGCTTCATTCATGGTGTATCCTCACAATTTGAACTCGACGAGTTGTCGTGGCTCGATGAGAAGGAGGATGAAGTGGCCATGGTCCAAAGCCGGCATGCGAGTCAGAGAAGCTGTGATTTTACGTCAGGAAAATGGGTTTATGATAAATCTTACCCTCTCTATGACTCGAGTTGCCCTTATCTGAGTTCTGCAGTGACCTGTCAAAAGAATGGAAGGCCGGATTCGGACTATGAGAAATGGAGGTGGAAGCCTGATGGTTGTTCACTTCCAAGGTACTTGAAAAGATTTATTCTAGCTAGTGTGCGTTTTTTGCCAAATTGTTGTTTGATTTGGAGCCATAATTGGTTTAGCCACCCCATATTATATTTACAAAAAGCCCAATATCACAATCATCATGGACTTCAAAGTGTTCACATACATTTATAATAGAATTGCTAATCGAGCCGAGAATGTCAAATTTGAGTATATTGAAACTTGGGTAGTTTGTGAACTCGACCAAATTTTACCTTGGCCGCAAGCATCTGATCTTAAAATGTTGTGACTTACTGTTTTCCACCTCAAAAGTTTTATTTCCTCGGAAACTGTCTGCTTTCACCAAGCAAATAAAATTTTCTGGTAAATATTTCTTCGATGAAGACCATTTTTCTTGTAATGATGGGTTGTTTGGCAATAAGTTCATAATTGTTGAAAAAAAGGACCTTTTTGAGCTGACCCGAGTCATGCTTTGTTTGAATTCAGTTTGTTTAAACATCAAGCTTACAAATGTGCTAAGATTCAGTTCATTTTACAATTTGAACGAGCAATAAACCTAGCCAAATCTGAACTGTGCTCGAGGTACTCCTTATATCATTTAACAGCCCATAATGCTTTTGATGATGAAGGTTTGATGCATTGGATTTTCTTGGAAGGATGAGAAGGAAAAGAATCATGCTTGTAGGTGATTCTATTGTGAGGAATCAATGGGAGTCTCTTGTCTGCTTAGTCCAATCAGTTGTTCCAACTGGTCGAAAGACAGTAACCTATGATGGCCCTTCAATGGCTTTCCATGCTCTAGTAAGAAGTTCTGTCTCATCACACAAAAACCTTGAAATGAAACTTCAAAATAGTATGGCCTCAATCTTAATCATGTACCTTCTAATGACATTATTTGATCATATTGTTCACAGGATTTTGAGACATCGATCGAGTTTTCTTGGGCTCCATTCCTAGTGGAATTGAAAAAAGGAGCAGGAGGCAAGAGAATTTTACATCTGGATTTGATTGAAGAGAATGCAAAGTATTGGAGAGGAGTTGATGTTCTTGTGTTTGATTCAGCTCATTGGTGGACTCACTCTGACAAATGGAGTTCGTAAGAAAATGACTTTTTCCTTCCTATCTCATAAATTTCTTGGAAAAATTACGCTCAAATTCTCTTTGTTGTGTTACTTAATTACCTAGGTCCCCTAATATTTAATATATTACACATAAATCTCTTAGATTTGTACAAACGTAACACATAGACCTTGCTGTTAAATGTCTGTTAGTAAATTATATTTAAACTCCTAAAATTTGAAAAATGTAATACTTAAACCCCTCAAATTTAAAATGTTATATTTATACAAAAAATACTCCAATTAAAGATAGAATATTAAATATTTTAAATTTTAAAACTAAAATTTATGTTCTCTTATATCATTTATTAAAATAAAATCAAAATAAATATTCAATTCTATTGATGCCAAAATTTGGACGTCCTTTACGTCAGTTTGGACTTAGACTAAATAGATTTTTTACTTTGGATTAATTTTTTCATTATCAAGCACAAACATATGAAATAAGTCTAATCAACACATTTGTATGTTTTATTATATCATCTATTGACCAAACAAAATTCTAATTTTTTGAAAAGAAAATAGTAATTAGTATAATATATCAAAGAACTCAATTCAATACTCATTTGTATACAATTATATTATCTATTGGAATAAAACAAAACAAAATTAAATAAGATGTCAAACTATAACGAATACAATATCTTTTATCTTTAATTGAAATAATTTGATCGTTTAATAGATTATGTTAGTTTCGTAACTAATAAGGGCTTTAAGTGTAATATTTCAACTTGAAGGCCTAAATGTTACACGTATACAACTTTTAGTTAGTTTGAGTATAATTTACTAATGAATATATTAACAGACATTAACGGCGGGAGTCTATATGTTACGTATATATAAACCTCAAAAGGTCTATATATAACATTTTAAATATCAGGGCTTTAAATGATTAAGTGACAAATCTTGGGTGTAATATTTCTTATTTTCTTTCAATTTCTTAGACAAAAGACCAAATTGGAAACAAAAAGATGTGTCATTTTAGGATGCTAAGTTGCAATTTTGAAGGTTTTTCTTTGCTATTTAAGTCTTGAGTAATGTTAGTTAGACATAAAAATCTGATTTAATTTGTGGTTTTAATTTGCTAACTTAATTATGTGGCTTTAACAGAAACGTTGAATCAATACCAAATTTTAATGTTTAATAGTGTCCACAGTCAATCCAAAAGACATAATTAATTAGGTCAATAAATAAGTCAATTATATCTCAATAACATTGTTGTTAAATTTTTTTTGCTATTACTTAAATGAAACTACCAAAGGAAAGTTGCATGAATGCTTCCATTTGGAGGGGTTTGAAGCATTAAGTAGGCAACAATGTAGCCAAGAACTCATGATCTTTGATTCATTATCATAATCTAAGTTTTATAACTATTGCAGGTGGGATTTCCTGATGGAGGGAAACAGTGTCATGAGAAATTTGAACCCAATGGTTGCCTATGAGAAAGGACTCATCACCTGGGCTAAATGGGTTGATCTGAATCTGGATCCCCGCAAAACCCGAGTCTTTTTCCGAAGCATGTCACCTAGGCATAACAGGTAACAAGCATTTTTTAGTTACATATAACTCAACTCAACAAAATCGTACCTCAACTATTTTTGAATGGCTTTGTTGTGATTGATATTGTTCATTTTTTTGTGCCATTTTCAGAGAAAATGGTTGGAAGTGCTTCAATCAAAGGGAACCACTTGGGTTTTCCAGTCACCCCCATGTACCTGCACAGCTAGTAGTGTTGCAAGGGGTGTTGAGGAGGATGAGATTTCCAGTATTTTTGCAGGACATTACAAAAATGTCGTCCCTTCGACGAGATGCGCATCCTTCTGTTTATGCTAAAGCAAAGGGCCAAGAAGAGAAGCAGCACCTGAGAGACTATACCTCTGACTGTAGCCATTGGTGCCTTCCTGGAGTACCTGATACCTGGAATGAGATGTTGAATGCTTTGCTTTAAGTATGAAATGTGAACCTACGTTAATATAGGTAGTGTGGCTAAGCAGAATAGTTCTTCTATTCTAGAGTCTGTCATGTTTATTGTGGTGCTTTGTGTTTTGGGGTGTCCACCTGAACATGTTGTGAGGCTGGTTTGTGTGGCATATGAATTTCTGTTGCCAAATGGTGTTGTTCATTTTGATGATGTTCACTTTGATAAAAAAAAAATGTGAATTGAATCACAGTCCTCAAGAAAGGGATGAGTTCATGGACTTGGACATTCAATTCTGCCTAGCCATATGTTGGACAATGGACAGTTTTAAAAAAAGAGTGTAGTGGATGGGGCTTCTATCATTGCGGAGTCCGAGGAGGAAATTAGAACTAGTAAATCCTAATGAGCTTGAATGGGAGCAAGAAAACCATTTCTTCATTCAAAGACATCGATATTATCTGAAGTTGGATAAGACAGTCTCTTATTGTGGCAAAGTAAGGCAACCAAATCAATCCCTTTCTTAGTGTTTCAAGTATATAGTCAAGCTTAAAGTTCACCAAAATGCTAAAGTGACCAATTTTTTAGATCAAATTTGGCAGCCAAATGATATGGCAATCCAACAAAACTCAATAAACCAATGAGACAATTTTGAGCTCCTTTTTTTTGTTGGCTACATAGCAAGCTGTCAGATAATTTGGGTTGTCAAATTTGGCCAATCTACCATTGTTGAAAAGTTAAATCCAACTTCTGCTATGTAATGGAAAACATGGCCATCATAGGGTAATTGGATGACAGTTTGTATGCGATTAACTTCCCCATCATCTTTTTCTTTTCTTTTTTTCCGAACATAAAATGCACAATTAACACACAAAGAAAGGAGGAAAAGATATTATTCTTCCTTTCCCTTTACAATTCAACCTTCTATAAAATGATGTTGTCGCATGATTTATATATGACAAGATAACACTAATTCAATGACTTTTTTATCCACCTTAAAGCATTTAGAATTCTTGTAGAGATTAATTTTTGATGGTGCTCAAAATCAATTGATTCAATTGCAGACCAACATGGAGTGTGGCCCAAAAGGAATAAGTATGTGCCTATGTGATAGAAAACGTACCAAGTGTTGAAGGTGTGCAAAGATAGAAATATGAGTGAAGTACTAAGGCTACATCCACTATAAGAGAGACTCTTGCTCTTGGAGAGTTGTATTACTTGGGAAGAAGACTGCTATTACAAGAGATTTAGCGGGAGGCCTTTTCCAAAGTATCTTTCTAGGTTATTGCTAGGTGATTCTTTTTTATATATCTTTACACAGTGGTATCGTTTGTTATTTATACATCCCATTAGGGTTCCTCGATGGTGTGGTCCCCTTCTTGTTTGTCCTGTAATTGATCTTGTCATTCCTAACGTTTTTCTATGCCAACTATGCCTTGAACGAAATACATGAGTCATCTTCGCTATCGGTGAGTATTCGTTCGTTAGAATCGTTAGGTATTGTCCCTTTGTCTCATGTCCACGTGTTACGGTACGCCCATTTGTGATTTGTTGTGCGCCAAGTTCCCAACTCTTATGTAGATATTAATACCGAGCTTGTTAATGCTGAACTGACATCTATTTTGAGCTAAATTATTCTGGACTTTCATAGAGCTTGGCTATATATGGTCTAGCCCGAGCTTGGTGAATGCTATCTTGATGGGGCGCTTGGGTCTTCTCGCGTGAGCCCAAAAGGGTTTTGGACTTCGGAAGGGGCCAGACTTAAATCCATCACCATCAATTTTTAATCCAAAAATAATGAAAAAAAAAATGAACATAAGATAGAACGTCGATGTGTTAATCCCTAGACATAAGAAAACTGAAAAACATAGATGAGAACCAAACCTAAATCGAAAACTTATATGAAAGGTGTAGAGAGTCTTAGTAAAACTAGAACAAATCTAACTCGAAAACTTCCTTCTAGCCACATTGTTATGACTTGGCATATTCTTTGATCATTTTATCTAGTAGGATTGACCTCTTTCACAGAGTTTTATCCCATTGTAAACAATCTATTTTGACCCAATCCTACGTCACATCATAAAGTGTGAATTGAATCCTTTATAAATATGAATTTTGAACTTTCATTCAACGTTGCGTTGGAAACCATGCAAACTTAACCTAAACGGCATAAAATATGTCAAGCAATTAATATTGATCTGTGATGCAATTAAAGACATCCGAGTCAATGATTCTCGTGCTGAGGCTTGGCTTCTTGGTGAGATGAACATGTGCCTTCTTCCTTTGGTTTCAGTAAATAATGGAGTAGTTGAGAGGTCGTTGAGAGTGCACATGTTTGCTTTTGACTTAGCTTTCGCCTTTGTTGTGAATTTGGACAATGTCTTTCAGGAATTTTAAAATTCTCTTGAAGCTTTTTGCCAATCTTTATCTTTGACTTTCAGTCTTCCAATGTTGCTTTAGTGGTTGAGCACAGCAATTATGCATCATGTCATTCTACTTCCATTTGGTGTTTGAGCTATATGTGTTAATCAAGTTAAGCTTATCGAACTTGAGTATGCTCAGATCCGGCTTGAATATGATTGGTCAAGCTTGAGCTCTAGCCAAGAAAGTTATATTCTTGCTTAATCTTAACTACACAAATGCTTAGGCGAAGAGCCGAATCCAAAAGCAATGTTGAGCAAAAATTGCCAAGTATATCCAGTTACTTGTTTGTGATGGTTTAGCTTCCTTTCTATTGGAATACATAATTTTAGAATAATGTTATGTGCATCAAATCATTGTAGCCGTTGGATTATGAATCTCATCACTGATCTAATGACTGCAATTAATTTGGTACACAAAATTATCGTTATAACCTTCTCAATCTCATGTCCATAGCCGCTCTCAAATGCTAACATTACATAGGGGATCAACTTGGAATCAATGGACCTTTGGTCTAATGGTACTACGTCAAGAATTCAAGTCCCTCTCCCCCTTCCCCTACCCCTCCCCCCAAAAAAAAACTAGGAAAATCCCAAAAATTGATGACCAGAGGTCCAGAAGTCAGCCAATAAATATGGTCAAATGGAAAATTGGCCATTGACCTTATGGTATACAATTAAGAGAGATAGTAGTGGCAAGAGGAGGCTAAAGTCAAAGTATTGGGATAGGCCTCTCAACAGATTGGATTCGTATTGGATTTTGAGAAATCGAATCCATATTCAAGTTACGATCCAAATATCTAATAAATTTTATTTTCATAATCCATACCTAATTCATTCAAAAACTGAAAAGACAATGTCGAATAAATCAATTAAGCTAGATTTTAGAGAATTGTATCTAGTTTTTAACTCAAATACATCAAATAGTCTCTTAGATTCATAATATATTCATATACATATCTATAACAATTGGATCGGATATTAATATATCAACATTCGAACCCAAAAAAAATATAACATGACAGATTTAAATTTGAGTTTGAATTATTAGTCAAAAATTTTAATTCACATCTGACTAATCAGATTCAAATAAAAATTTAATTCATTGATAAGCCATATTTGCTGTACTAATCAGAGATGGACGGGGCAATGGATGAGAGGAGACTATGCAAGAATAGAACCAACAAACAGCCTAACAACTGAACTTTGGAGTATCTTGAAGTACCTAAAACTTGTAAACAGACAGCCATGGTAACAACAGGAAAATCATACTTTTTTTCTTTTTTTTTTTTGTTTTGAAGTGTCAGTAAAATCATAGTTCAATCAGACTCCCCAGAGACTATCAATTTGATAGTCAGAAAAGGGCAAGAGGATAACCAAAACAAAACCTTGATTGAAAACTGCAAGGTCCTGAGTCAAAAGGCTCCAAGTCTACTTCTCAACTCCCATTACGATATAAAAATAATAATTTTTTGCTAACGTATCTTCGTTTTTTACCCAATAAAAATGTCACATATAAAGTTTCTATATAATTTTTTTCAATAAAATGATTGTACATAATTCAAATCAACTTTGCCTCCACCATGCTACCTCCACCTAACCTTCTCCCCCACTTTAAAGACACAATGAAAATTATTTGTTAACATGTTGTGTCCAAAATAACACGGCATAGAAGGGCAGGAACTACAAACCCGAAGCTAGCAGACCTTGTTGGTACCTCCAAACAAAGAAGCAAGGATAGCTAAGAAAAAAAGTAGAAATGTTGCAATCCTCCAGCTGGCTGGCTTAACTCTTCTTGACCGTAAGAGCAATACAACACTAACTTAAAAATTTGTTTAAAAGTCTAACTGTTATATTTGTTATTGATTTACTGTGGGTCTCAATTTTTATGGGAACCCATTACCTATTCAATAGTAGTGATTTATTAAATCAAATTGTTAAGATATTTTCCTAACCGTAAACCTCCAAAAAATTCCTAGCAAAACTTGAGTTGTGATTTTGATTCTATAAACATGTTACTTCGTATTTCTTTTGATTTAACATCAATAAGTGAGACTTGTATAGGTAACTTACCCGACTCGCTGAAACCAAAACTATTGAAATGGTTTTTTTATTCAAAAACAAGTCCAAGCATAAATAAGAAAAGAAAAGAGGCAAGAAGTTCTCGCGACCTGAAAAGGATTAGATGTAATCTTATCCCACATGTAAATTGGTTATTTCCATGACTTGAATTCATTACTTGAACTAAAAACTATATCAAAAATTCAAATGAACTTTAAATTTCAAGGGAAAACTATAAAATCAAAATTTCAAGGGAAAACTTGAAAACTATAAAATTTCAAGTTGGTTTATCATCCAACTGATAATAAACCAGCACAATTGTTCTCACATATAACTGCTGTAACTTCTTCATAAAGATTATCAGTAATTCCTTTTATTAATCAACAAGTATGAATTAACAATAACAACCTCTGCTCTAACCTCAGCTACTGGGGACCAAGCTTCTTCCTCATCTTAGCAATCTCCTTAGCTTTCAATCCAAAAGCCTTCTCCAGAATCTCTCCCTTAATCTCAGATCCAAAAACAGCTGATGGAATTTTCACTGATCCTGGATTTTGGCTGTCAAAACTGCCCAATATAGCAGCATGTGAGTCACCAACATTCATCTGAAAATGTATTAGACCCCTTGGGAACACCATTACCTCTCCCTTTTCAATCACTTTGGCGAAAACTCGATTTCCTGAATCGACAAAACCCGAATAAATCTTCCCCTCCAGCACGAACGCGACCTCCGTGGCTCTCGGGTGAAAATGTGGCACATTGATGCCACCTACATCAAAATCAGCTCGAACAAATGACATGCCTAATGTGTTTAGACCAGGAAAGACACTTGAAGTCACTGCCATGGCCGACAACCCGGCTTTGCTGAATTTTCCTGGTTTTTTGACGCCATAGAATACAAAATCTTCAACTGTGGCTGATGAAGAGTTCTTGCAAGAGTGGAAAGTGGATGAAAAATCTGTGTGTGGTATGCAGAAGTCATGGATTGGATCTGGGTCGGAAGCTGAGACTGCATAGAGATGGAGCAAAATAACTAACAAAACTGTCATTTTGGGGAACATGGTTGATCCGCTTGTTACTGGATCAGGTATGACAAAGATGGCATTTAAAGACTCGGTAGAGCCAAAATGATCAGAAACCTTTTGGGCTCGTTTGATTATCGTATTAAAAATTGATGGATTACATAAAATAGTTCAGGCTAATACCATATAGGAGGATAAAAAAACAAAATTAAATAAAGTATTAGAATAATACGTAATTTTATTTAGTATTTAGCAATGCATAACATAAACGTTGGATAGTAGTTATTGAATTCAATCGTTTGTTTGGTTAAGGAAATATTTCATTGTATTAATGTTGAATTAACAAAAATACTCTCAATCAATGTTTATTACATTAATGACAATTTGATTTTATAAATTGGGGGTTACAATAGTAAATGAGTAAAACAATACGTTTGAGTTGGATTATAATATTATCTCTCTTTGTAGTATTAAAATACATCTATAATACATGTCTATTGTATAAAAAATATACGAAAGTATACGATTAATATATGTTTTTGAAATTAATATGGTATCAAATTTGTTTACCAAACAAAATATTTGGTCTGATTAAATAAAAAAATAATATAATTCAATATTTAATCCCCACGTAATACTTCTATCAAACGAACCCTTTGTGTCCAGTGTTATTTTATCAATAACATCATCACACATTAACTTTCGATATAATACTAAAATGATAAGATTATAACCCCGCAAGGTTAAGATAAAATATAGTTGTTTGGAATGGATTACAATATTTTAAAATCAATTCCCACTCTTTTTATAAATTGTAACTTGAATCTATTGAGTCGTAACTGATTTTTTTTTTTTAAGTCGTAACTCAACATTCAATGATTAAAATTTATTTTGTTATAAATTTTACCAAACTGGGTACCATATTGTTATCCTTAATTTACACGATTTTGTAATTACAACTGCACCAAAGGAATTTGTTGCAGCAATAATTGTAAATTTGGTACTTATCCCCACCCAAATTGCTGGCTTGGAACATAATCTTCTAATCTGGAATCGTGAAGATGACTATCTATGCCACCTTAAGCTACAGTTTGGTGGGCTTTTATTAACTGAACCACAGACATATGTCCTTTGTTAAAAAATTAGTTATTACCTATGCCTAAAGGTATAGTGTAATAAAAAATAGTAAAAAATAAATATATTTGTATTCATATTTAAATTTAAATCACAAACATAGATAAGAGATAAAAAGAATTTAAGTATCGATTTATAGCGAGGATAAGAAGTGGTGGGCGACAGTGACGGTGGTAGGAGACGGTGATGGTTGTGATAAGTGGTAATGACCGTGGTGGTGGTAGCTGTGGGTGGCGGCAGTGGCGGTGGGGGTGGCAATGGCGTTGGTGGAGGCGGTGGCGGCAGTGGCGATGGTGGTGAGAGTGTCAGCGGTGGCGACGACAGTGGTGGTGGTGATGAAGGCGACGACGGTGGAAGTGGTGGAGGGGCGGGGGGCAGAGGCAGTGGTGGTGGCAACAACAACAACGATTGTGGTGGCGATGGTGCCAGTGATGACGATGGTGGTGGCGGCGGCAGCGGTGGTGGGGGTGGCGGCGACGGTGATGGTGGTGGTAATGGTGGTAGTAGTAGACGTAGTGGTGGGACGGTTTTAAATACTATTTTTTATAAGTATTTATGAGAAATAATTTTTAAAAGTACTGTTAAAAATTCACTATAAACACAACCTTAGGAGTCTATTTTTCCTATTAAATTTAGGGTGTTAATATTAGCCGTTAGATTAACTTTAAAATAAAATTTAAAGCAATTTCAGCCGCAAATAGCAAAAGTCATTTTGTTTATATTTTGAGATTTGAATTGTAAGCTACTTTATTATATAGATAGGAAAATAATCATTAATTTTCTTGTCAATACAATCTACTTGGATTCCTATTTTCTTCTTAATAACTACAAAAATACATTTGATATTAACTTTAAACATTTCATAATTTGTTTTAATCATAAGTTTTAACTCAATCTGTGACTAAGACTTATAAATAAACTTAATCAAATCGTTAGCCATCAAGATAGATGAATTTGTTGCGACTATATTACGCTTATTCAAAATAGGGTTAATTGTACTAAATGTTCCTAAAGTATAAAGTTTGTCTCATTTTAGTCTATAATATTTTAATTACATCATTTTGGTCCCTAAAATATTGAATATGTTTTTATGTGGTCTCTCAAACAGACAACATCCAAATTAATAACATTTTTTTATCATAAACTTGTCATGTAATACCTAAATATATGTAAAAAAGTAATTTTAATAACTCTTTGACTAAATTTTTATTCAAATTTTGATCAAAGAGGTACCCAACCTATGCAGTTTTGATCATAAGCTATCCAAAATTTACATATTTTTAGTCAAGAACTACATAAATTTTGGTTCAGAGCTACCTAAATAATTTTTTGTTCATATTTAGGTATTACGTGATAAGTTTATAATAAAAAACCGTTAACAATTTAGACGTTGTCTGTTTGAGAGACCATATATAAACATATTCAATACCTTAAGGACCAAAATGATGTAATTGAAATATTAGAGACTAAAATAAGACAAATCTCATACTGTGAGGACCTTCAATGTAATTAACCCTTGAAAATATTACTTTTTAATTTTGTGCTTTATTATTGAAAATGTATAGAGTAACCACTNTGTAATTAACCCTTGAAAATGTTACTTTTTAATTTTGTGCTTTATTATTGAAAACGTATAGAGTAACCACTTTTTATTCCAGTTCTAAAGGGGTACAACAGAAACTCAAGTAAATTCCATATTTGTTGGAATTAATTTTGAAAAAGTAGGATTTATTTAAAATTTTATAGGGGGCAACAAAGTACAACTTAACCACGAATTGTCTTTAGAATGAAAAATGAAAGTCTTTTAGGTACAGGGGCCCTCCCTGTATAAATAAGTGTTTTGTCTTTATCGGTCTTTAAAAACATGTTTTTCAAAGCATTTAAATTGCCCCATAAAATCTAAAAGTCTCTCTCCTAAAGAAAAATGAGTAATCAGTAGCACGCTTCATACTAAAGTATTTTTGCTTGGGAACAAAGATAAGCAGGGTTAGGTAGGCTCTAACATGGATGTATCCACTAGTGCAAGTCATAGTTATGCTGTCTTGTAGTGACAATATGGGTATAAAGTCAGTGGGTGAATTGCAATTGATTATTGCTCAGTTCTTATTCTTATATTCAAAGACAAGTGAAAATAATTCTATCATCTATCTCAAAGTAGCCTGAGATGACCAACTTCTACTACACCAGGGAATCATGAGAACACATATGACATGATGAGAAACAATTATTGTGGTTCCAGAACCAATTGGCCATCTGGGTTTTTTTTTTTTTGTGATTTTTAATCAGAATAGAAAAAAGGTTGTTACTAGTTTGGTCTCGTTAGTCAAAAGTACTAAGAAAAATGAACTTGATACAGGTTATGAGTGTGTTTGGCAGCACTTCTAAATGGAATTTTGAGTCTAGAAAGTCTTGGGAATTTTGAGTTTGGTAATACTTGCACCAAGTCGATACCCTTTGTTTCAGGGGATTAAATTATCAACACCGCTAACCTTTGCATTATTTAATTTTGCTTATCAAATCAAGTATAGATTGTTGGATCAACAGGTTCTATCTATTTTTTGGTAGTGGGGCAAACTAATTCAATCACCCACTTTTATTTGATCTTGAAAAATTGATAATAGACTTGGTTACACACATCATTACTCTTAGATCATGACCAAAAGAGGTAACAGGTGCACCACGCTTCACATTTAGAGAAAATAGAAACGTTGTCCTGCCCAATTTGGCAGATTACTGTCTCATGGTCAAGCTGTCTCAAGCACAAGAAAATGCTGACGGTGACATCACGTTATCATATTCTGATTAAAAAATAACAAACAAATAAAGTGAAAATAATAGAGTTCACTTTATCTATATCATTTTCTAATTGAACGATGACACCACGTGACAATGATGACATAATGTCACCCTTGTATTGAATATTTATTTGGCGGAAAACCAAAATGAAACATTCACAGCAATATTGTACCATCTCTTTTTGGAATTATATGAGGTTCTGCAAATCTAAGTTGGCTATAATTCTCTCGGGAGACTGCGGTAACAACTGTGAACTTTTTTTAAGAAGGTAAATAAGTTTATTAAACCGAAAATAAGATATACAATGAAGTTCAAAACACGCCAAAAAAAAGGACACACAAAGCAATACTCAAAAAGTTTGCTCCGTCCATACACCTAGTCAATAAATAAAATAATCTCTCACAACCCGAGACTAGAGACAACCGTAAACTTACATGAAAGAAGTATTAAAAACCGTAGTGTCCAAAGAGCTTGGCTTTATCGTGGAACAGGAGAGGATGAGATTAGAACCCGTAACCACCTGCGAGCAAGAGTGAGACCTTACCACCGGGCCATTCTCTCTCCCCCTCCCCCCAAAAATGAAAGAAAGAGCATGCCATGGACCCAAAAAAGGCTTTTATGAAACAAAAAACTTACTCAGTGCACTAGCTCCGACCACAATTATCCAGCATGAGGAAAACTTGGCACAAGAAATTGTAGAAAGAGAGAGCATTCAGTGTTTGTACCAGAAATATCTAAATTAAGAAAGGGACCTGAGATCAATATCTTGGCATAACAGAACTAAACAAGTGACTCGATCCCACGGAATTATTTGGTGTACAGTTAGTGTACATATATGAGAAGCCTTCCCTAGTAGCTATCTTCATCCGTTTCTGGCCTCCGAAGGTAGTAACGCAGGCAATTTACCAGCACCTGCATTTTCAATCAAGAAGTTTAAAAGATATTCACGTATAAGTCAACTATAATGTATTAAGTCGAGAGATTGTCTGTAAGCAACAGGTGACGTTATGACTTCTGGTACTACCCCATTCTATGGTAATACTTTCTCAATCTAAGGGCAGTTGTGAACTAGGAAAACTCCCACATCCTTTTCGGATCCCCATTTTTCTAATGGTGTTAGCCGAAAGTATGGATAGAAAATATATATATAAATGGCTGTTTCTAGACTTAAAACACTAAACTTGCCAGAGGATATCTGAAAGAAGTACCACAGTGCTAATCTGAGCCTAAAACAGATTAGTTGAGTTACCTACTAATTCAAGATTGACAAGATACAGTTAAAAAAACCTCACTTGAAAAAAATAAAAAATAAAAAATAAAACAGACTTTTCCAGCTCCATATTCTAAACCAAGCTTCTGAGCTTTGCAGAATCTCAATTTCTAGGAAATCAGGGGCTTATGGCATCCAAAAAATACTAATCCTCCCAAATTCTAAAGGTGGTTACAATAGTAAAAGCAGTAGCAGCTACTGCAACTGTAATTATAATGGCATCCATTTACTACAAAACCAATGCTGAACTCAGCTGACAGAAAGAGAGAGATTGTTTACGGCACAAAGGAAAATAATTATCTAGTGATCAAAGAATGTCTAGCCAGCTACCTGAGACAAGGAACTGTTCAATGCTGCTCCTCGATAACTAACGTAAAACTTATCCTTGGCCACCAAACCCTGTAAAATGACAAGTAAATGCTAATAACAAATGTGTGTGTGTGTGTGTGAGAGAGAGAGAGAGAAAGATGGCACACCTCTGTGTCAATCTCTGCTGATTCCACATTAACGTTAATATCAGCCACAATTTGGATGATTTCTAATAGCAACCCAGGTCGATCTGCTGTCTCTATATAGAGCAAGCTGAAATTCCAAGAAATTAACAACAGGATAAATAGATGGTGGTGAGCTAACACTTCACTCAAGTGGAGACTCATTTGAGGTAGAATAAATCAGATGTACAAATAAAAAATACATGATAATACTGAAAAGTATTTTCAACGTTATAAACATTAATATTGTGAAGCTGCAAACCTTCTCTTAGGTCCATCATCCTTGACATGTATATGAGTTGCAATATCAACATCAAGCTGTCACCAACAAATAAAAAGTCGCAATTTGTGGAGTTAGATATAACTGTGCAAGATCATCACGAAAGAAAATGATTTCCATGAAAGATAACTTAATGTTGAAAACTTTGAGATCAGATATGAGTTACTTTAAAGAACTTTTCTGGTTGTGTTGTACTGTTTGACATATAAGCCGTTATGGGAAAGACCTTCATCGATTAGTTTGACCATTTTGTTTAACAATGCTGTTATGAGCACCTACCAAGTAACCAAGGTATTATAGCTCTATACAACTTGAAGTTTTTTTTTTTTTTTTTTTTTTGATAGGAAACAGAGATCTTGCATTAATAAAGGTCAAAAAGTACATCAAAATGGTTGGATAAGGAATCCAACCAAAAAGAAGAAAAAAAATAGAAATAAATAAATCGGCAAAAGAACTAGGTCACATAAAAGCCTTATACAACTTGACAATTTAATCACCAAGGATGGAAAAATGGTGCATGAAAAAACTTATTTTAGGGGTGGGCCGTCATTTTGAGAATGTAATGGGAAACTGGCACCCTTAAAACTTCAAGTCAATAAACTTCATACAAGTGCAATTTGTACAAAGTTACAAATGATCATCCAGTCAATAAAATTCATAAAGTGTGCAATTTGTACAAACGAGCAGCTTGTACAGCAAACTCAATATATGATGGCAAGATAGCCATGAGAAAAGTGTCCCCATAGGACAAGAAATGGATTACAGATTGCAATGAGGGCATCAATATAATCAAATTTTGGGGAACCATGGCCATCAAAGATAAGCATAAACCAGAAGGCTGATGCTTCAGTTGGGGATCTATCACAACAAATGTTTTGCTTGATGACAGAGAGGTTTAATATTTGAATTAGACATAGCAGGCTAGATGCATACTCAAGGACGGCAGATATCACCTTCAAAAACACAAGTCCACGACATGGCAACTCACATAAAGACAAAGTGATAAAACAGTACAAGCATGAAGCAAATGACTATGTTTCTTGAACAGAGTCACCTTCTTGGCCGGTGCTTTTATCCCAAAAGCCTCACCCATTGCTAGCCGCTCACTAGACTCCTAATAAGGTAAGAACAAACCATCATAATTAACAGAGAAAATTAAATGAATTAAAGAAGAAATAAAGGTTCATAGAATGAGAGCATCAGTATGACAATATACTGGATGATACTTCAAAAGGTTGTTGATAATGGTTAATCGAATTCTCTCCAACAAATCAGGGTCTTTAACCTTGCGCCCAGTTGCCCTGACATATCAATCCAAAGAAATTAGCTTATGACATTAAACTATGTAGTAAAAGATAGCGCATAAATATTTAGATAACATTGGTAGAGATAAATTGACAGTTATCCAGTTTGCTTTCAGAACAGTTCAAAGAAAATGTTCAAGCATCTCATTAAAATGCCACTTACAAATTCTTACCCTGGCACAGTTAATCATCCACAGACACAGAAGTAATTATCCAACCAGAAAATGGAATAACAGAAAGGAAGAGCCTTGATGTATTAAGATATCAGGACAGCATAGGATAGAAGTTGATTTGTTTATTTGCAACAAACCAAACACATTGTCAAATCCAATTTATCCTCAAATGATGTGCACACCAGTTTATATGCATCATTTTTTGGGTCAAAAAGAAATTGGTGCATGTCTTAAGAGACAAAATAAAGTTTTTTACCAGAGCTCTGTTTATCTTAAAATGTAGTAGAGCCAGCTGATGAACCATTCTATTAAATGTGAATACAAAAAATCACCGCAAATTGAGTATGCATAAACCAATGTAAATATCGAATGGCAAGTTAGTGCAGGAGGGAACTTCTATCAAGGACTATGACTTTCACACAGGCAGACATCATGTTACTCAAATGGCACAAAATTCTATGGATGTACGACGAAAGCATGACTCGATAGATAACTTGCATTGACTATGTTAAGTGTAGAGAATTAACATAATATTAGAGAGAAACAGAGAGAGGTTAAAAACTTAACCTAACTCTCATACATCACTTGTATTTATAGTTAACTTACAATAATAAGAATTACACATACACCCTTTTGTATTTACACATAATACCTAACACTATTAACAAACTACACATACTACCCTAATACTCTTAACACTTCCTCTCAATCTGAACTATATATATCATATAATCCAATCTTAGAACATATCGCTGTAAAACGTGTACGACTCAATACTTTTGGTAAAACTTGAAATAGTTGTGAGTGAAAAAGGTGTTGTGGGTTTGGTTGGGAACTATAAGTTTTATGCTAGTCGGTTTAGTTGGGTTGGTTTGATGTTGCAAAGTATTGGGTTGGTTTGAGTATGTCGGTCGGTTTGTGGGTGAAGTGTGGTTGTCGGTGGAGGATAGGTGCATTGCTAGGGAGTGTTACTGTCGGTGGGTATTGTTTGACTGGGTGGTATGGACACTGTTCAGTTGGTCTGGGCAGTCGGTCAAGGTAGTCAGTGAGTTTGCTAGATTGGTTAGGTGCTGGCCTCGGTGGTCTTTGTCGGTGGGTTGTTGGTCTGAGCAGTCGGTATGGTGAGTATGGTGGAGTCTATGGTGGAGGTTAAAGTTAGGGTTGGGGTTTGAGTTTAGCTCTGATACCAACTTAAAATGGTTGTGAGTGAAAAAGAGATACAAACTAAATGTAGAGCCCCCATATATATAGCCAATAAAAATTTACAATAAGGATAAAAGGTAAAACAAAAAAAACTCTAATAAACTAGGTTGTTATATCTCCAACAGTAAACATATTTACAAACTGATCTTCAGATTTCACAAATGGAGTTGTAATCTCTCCAACTACTATCTTGTCCCAAATAAAATGACAATCAACCTCAATATGTTTTGTTCTCTCGTGAAGCACTGGATTGACAGCGATATGAATAGCTATCTGGTTGTCACACAACAACTATAAAGGAAGTTGAACTGAAAACTCAATTTCCTGAAAGAAGTGTAATAGTCAAGTCAACTCACTTGTCGTATGTGTTATTGTCCAATACTCAGCCTCAACACTGGATCTTACTACCACATATTGTTTCTTACTTTTCCATGAGATAACGTTACCTCCTAAAAAAGTACAATAATCAGTAGTTGATCTCCGATCATAAGGAGAGTCAGCCCAATCAACATTTGAGAAACCTTCCACTCTAAGATGTCCATTAGCTCGATATAACAGTCTAAGTCCAGGAGCACGTTTGAGAAATCACAGAATACGAGTAACTGCCTCCCAATGTGGTACTCTAGGCACCCTATGAACTAACTTACTATACTAACTACATAAGAAATATCCAATCAAGTAATAGTGAGATAATTGACCTTCCCAACCAATCTGCAATACCGACCCGGATTCTCAAATAGTGCACCATCATCTATCAAAAGTTTTTGATTCAGATCCATAGGAACATTAACAGGTCTGTCACCCAGCAAGTCTGCTTCTTCTAGCATGTCAAGTACATATTTCCTCTGGGATAAACAAATACCCTATTTAGATTGAGCCACCTCAATATCCAAGAAATACCTAAGTTTTTCCAAATCCTTAGTATGAAATCGATCCTGCAAAAATATTTTTAACTTAGCAATCCCCTCAGAATTATTTCCAGTAATCACAATATCATCTACATAGACCACCAATAGAACATATCCAGTATCTGTCTGTCTATGAAACACAAAACGATCTGTTTAACATCGAAGAAGACCAAACTCTAAAATTGCATCTGAAAACTTACCAAACTATGCCCTCGGTGACTGCTTCAAACCATAAATATTTCTTTAATCGACACACACTCTTACCATACTCCCCCTGAACAGTAAACCCAGGTGGCTGCTCCATGTAAACCTTTTCAACCAAGTCACCATGTAGGAAGACATTCTTGACGTCTAACTGAAACAAGGACCAATCAAGANAGTTGTAATCTCTCCAACTACTATCTTGTCCCAAATAAAATGACAATCAACCTCAATATGTTTTGTTCTCTCGTGAAGCACTGGATTGACAGCGATATGAATAGCTATCTAGTTGTCACACAACAACTATAAAGGAAGTTGAACTGAAAACTCAATTTCCTGAAAGAAGTGTAATAGTCAAGTCAACTCACTTGTCGTATGTGTTATTGTCCAATACTCAGCCTCAACACTGGATCTTACTACCACATATTGTTTCTTACTTTTCCATGAGATAACGTTACNTAAAGGAACGAGATCCCCAGTCCCATTATGATGTCAGACATCTATCTCCTCCTCTATAGCTTTCCTCCAACCCAGATCAGATAATACATCCTATAAATGCTTAGGAATAGATATATTAGATAATTGAGAAATAAAATAAGAAAAGACAGGAGACAAGGCATCATATAAAACAAAATGAGCAATGGAATGATTAATAACACNGATATAACAGTCTAAGTCCAGGAGCACGTTTGAGAAATCACAGAATACGAGTAACTGCCTCCCAATGTGGTACTCTAGGCACCCTATGAACTAACTTACTATACTAACTACATAAGAAATATCCAATCAAGTAATAGTGAGATAATTGACCTTCCCAACCAATCTGCAATACCGACCCGGATTCTCAAATAGTGCACCATCATCTATCAAAAGTTTTTGATTCAGATCCATAGGAACATTAACAGGTCTGTCACCCAGCAAGTCTGCTTCTTCTAGCATGTCAAGTACATATTTCCTCTGGGATAAACAAATACCCTATTTAGATTGAGCCACCTCAATATCCAAGAAATACCTAAGTTTTTCCAAATCCTTAGTATGAAATCGATCCTGCAAAAATATTTTTAACTTAGCAATCCCCTCAGAATTATTTCCAGTAATCACAATATCATCTACATAGACCACCAATAGAACATATCCAGCATCTGTCTGTCTATGAAACACAAAACGATCTGTTTAACATCGAAGAAGACCAAACTCTAAAATTGCATCTGAAAACTTACCAAACTATGCCCTCGGTGACTGCTTCAAACCATACAAATATTTCTTTAATCGACACACACTCTTACCATACTCCCCCTGAACAGTAAACCCAGGTGGCTGCTCCATGTAAACCTTTTCAACCAAGTCACCATGTAGGAAGGCATTCTTGACGTCTAACTGAAACAAGGACCAATCAAGCTTAGCAGCCAAAGAAATCAAAATACGAACCGAAGAAATTTTGGCAACAGGAGAGAAAGTCTCCTTATAATCAACACCATAAGTCTGAGTAAAGCCTTTTACAATAAGTCGGGCTTTGAGATGCTCCACAGAACCATCCGGATGAAATTTAATAATATACACCCAACGACAACCAACAGTTCGTTTACCAGGAGGTAAAGGAACGAGATCCCCAGTCCCATTATGATGTCAGACATCTATCTCCTCCTCTATAGCTTTCCTCCAACCCAGATCAGATAATACATCCTGTAAATGCTTAGGAATAGATATATTAGATAATTGAGAAATAAAATAAGAAAAGACAGGAGACAAGGCATCATATGAAACAAAATGAGCAATGGAATGATTAATAACATACGAACGAGTACCTTTTCGAAAAGCAATAGATAAAGAGTCTAAATTACCTGATATACCAGGATCAGAAAGCGGCAAGGAAAACGATATGGGCACCTCAGTCGATGGGCGAGGACGGCGAGAGTAGATACGGAAAGATAAAGTAGATGGTAACACAGTGGACAGCGAAATATCTGAAGATGAAGGAAGTGGTACAGGAGATGACCCAAAGTCCAGATCCAAAGGCTGAGAAGGTGTTGAAAAATATGGAACAAATTCCTCAAACGTAACATCAGCACTAGTAAAGTGTCGGCTCAGAGAAGGACTGTAGCAACGATACCCCTTCTGCGTGCAGGAGTAACCAAGAAATACATATTTGGTTGCTCGAGAGTCAAGTTTGTCAAACCCAGGACCCAAATTGTGAACACAACAGACACATCCAAAAACCGTAAGAGTCAGAGAAAATAAGGGTTTACCAGAAAAAAAGACAGAATATGGACTTTGTCTATTTAACACAAAGGATGTCATATAATTAATAAGGTGACAAGCAGTAAGAACAACATCACTCCAAAAATATTGAAAAATATGCATCTGGAATAACAAGACACGGGTGACTTCCAACAAATGACAATTTTTGCATTTAGCAACACCGTTCTGTGGAGAGATGCAAGCACAAGAAGTCTAATAAATAATGTCTATTTTACTAAGGTAAGCTGAAAAATGATCAGATTCATATATTCGAGAATTATCAGAACGTAAAATATGTATACGACAACCATATTAAGTTTTTATTTCCTTACAAAAAGTCTCAAACATAGAGAATAATTCAGACCAATCTTTCATCAGAAACAACCAAGTCACATGAGAATGGTCATCCACAAAAGTCACAAAATAAGGATATTTATTAGATGAAATATTCTTTATTGGACCCATACATCAGAATATACCAACTCAAATAGACTAAATACACGATTATTGACTCTAGACTGAAATGACATATAGTGATGCTTACTAAGTTGACAAGTTTCATAAGACAAAGACGACACACAACTCAGACCGGGAACTTGGCGCTTCAAATTCTGGAGAGAAGGATGTCCAAGACGATAATGTCATTGAAAATGAGTCAATGAAATCTGTAGAGCCCGAGTAGATGAATCAAAATCAAAGAAATATAGACCACCGGCTTCATGCCCCGTACCAATCTTCCTTTTCGTCTTGAGATCCTGAAAGACACAATAAGAGGGATAAAAAGTTACAGAACAATTGAGAGAATGAGTAATCTTGTTGATGGAAAGTAAACTAAAAGAAATCTGAGGAACAAATAACACGGAAGATAGGGACATATCAGGACTCAAGTGAGTAGTCCCCAACCTGAAACTTTAGAACAAGTAATATTAGCAAGAGTAACACTATGTGTGGAAGTAGCAGACTGATAAGTAGGAAAAATATCAGACACACCAATCATGTGGTCAAAGGCGCCAGAGTCTATGATCCAAGGACTGCAAATGGAGGACACTAAACAAATGAAAGCAGTACCTGACTAGGCAAAAGTAGCAACAGAGGAAGATGGAACAGCCTATTGTTGGAATAAGAACTGAGCATACTCCTCTCGTATAATAGTAACTGACCTAGTGCCTGGTGGAGCTGACCGAGGTATGGAAGCAACAACAGAGGTATCATCCTGATAGAAAGCCTGATTCGTAGTATCAGAAGGTTTTCCATGTAAATTCCAACAGAAATCAACAATGTGCCCTCCACGACCATAGTGAGTACAAGAACGAGGTCCACTACAGCCCCCATGACCACCCGTACAACCTCCTGTACGACCCCCTCGAACACCACGACCATCACTATGACTACTAGGAACCACAAGAGCTGAGTGATCAGTGGAAACACCATGATTGATACCTAAAGTAGACAAAGTAGCACGCTATGTACAAAAGAAAACCTCAAGTAATGAGAAAAGACTATAACCACCCAAAATCTGAGAACGAATAGCCTCATATTCAGGTTTCAATCCTATCAAAAACCTAACAACATTCATGTCCTCATGTTACTTCTGTCAAACTGCTGCATCAGTAGTAAACAGATGGTAGGTCTTCATCTCCTCACAGACTCACCGAACGTGAGAGTAATAATCTTCAATGCTTGAGTACTCTTTTCCAGCCAGAAGTATTCCTTGCATATCTCATAAGCTCATGTAAAATTACCTGTACCAGAATGNTAGCCTCATATTCAGGTTTCAATCCTATCAAAAACCTAACAACATTCATGTCCTCATGTTGCTTCTGTCAAACTGCTGCATCAGTAGTAAACTGATGGTAGGTCTTCATCTCCTCACAGACTCACCGAACGTGAGAGTAATAATCTTCAATGCTTAGAGTACTCTTTTCCAGCCAGAAGTATTCCTTGCATATCTCATAAGCTCATGTAAAATTACCTGTACCAGAATACATAGTAGTCAAGTGGTTCCATATCTCCTTGGCAATATCAAGGTAGAGCAGAGTAGAACCAATACTAGGCTCAATGTTATTCAATAGTAAAGAAATAATTTGAGCATCCTCTTGTTCCCACTGGTCATACCCAGGAGTTCCTTGAGTTTAGGATTCACCAAATATTTCTTTAATCCTTTGCCTCGAAGAAAGACTTGAATAGATCGAGACTNTAAAGAAATAATTTGAGCATCCTCTTGTTCCCACTGGTCATACCCAGGAGTTCCTTGGGTTTAGGATTCACCAAATATTTCTTTAATCCTTTGCCTCGAAGAAAGACTTGAATAGATCGAGACTATAAAGTATAATTGATCTCATTGAGTTTGACTGAGGTCATGGGACCATTGATAAGAGTTAGAGGAGTAGAAACAGGTAGCAAAGACGGAGTAAGAGCCCTGGTATCTTGCTTGAGTTCCATAAGAGTGCAGCAAATAGGAAATAAGAAGTACTACAATGCNTGCCTCGAAGAAAGACTTGAATAGATCGAGACTATAAAGTATAATTGATCTCATTGAGTTTGACTGAGGTCATGGGACCATTGATAAGAGTTAGAGGAGTAGAAACAGGTAGCAAAGACGGAGTAAGAGCCTTGGTATCTTGCTTGAGTTCCATAAGAGTGCAGCAAATAGGAAATAAGAAGTACTACAATGCTGTGGAAAGAAGGCTGTTGGAAGGCTAAATCGACCTAGAAAACCATTGAACCGGACTGGTGTAGTCCAAAGGAGGCTGCTGGAAGGCTGAACCGGCCTAGAGAACTGCTGAACCAGACTAGTTTAGCCCTCTGGATCACTGAACCGGCCTTGCTGAGGCTACTAAAAGCCTGAACCGGACTGGTTTAGCCCTCTGCACCACTGAACCGGCCTTGCTGAGGTTACTAGAAGTCTGAACCGGACCGGTTTAGCCGTCTGGCCTGCTGAACCAGAGTAAAACCAGTTTGCACCAATCTGAACCGGGTTGGATCAAAGTGGGTTGGACTCGATTGGATTGGGCTGGGCTTAAAACAATTTAAATCCGTTGTCTTTTATCCAAACCCGTGAAGTCAGGTCTGGACTTTTTCCGAGTCTGGACCCTTTCTTCTTCATCAATTAAGGTTCCAGTAACCCTAGTTTTCGACTGAACAACCACCACTACACTGATCAACAGATCACCACAATCGCTACACCCATAACACCACCACAACGAACACACAAACGATGGCGAACAATAGTCTACGACTGCACAACCACCACCACAATGAACAACAGATCACCATGATCGCTACACCACAACGAAGGAATCAACACTACACCACCACAACGAATACACAAACGATGACGAACGATCAACAGTAACACTAGTACCACCACCACAAACAGACCACAAATATATTCAAAAAATATATTTAGGATTGTAACTTTGCTCTGAAACCATGTTAAGTGTAGAGAATTAACATAATATTAGAGAGAAACAGAGTTAGGTTAAAAACTTAACCTAACTCTCATACATCACTTGTATTTATAGTTAACTTACAATAATAAAAATTACACATACACCCTTTTGTATTTACACATAATACCTAACACTATTAACAAACTACACATACTACCCTAATACTCTTAATAGACTAGAACCAATGTCCACTTTAATTTATCTTCTGGTAGTTTCCATGAAAATTTTGTAGTCAATTTAAAAAAAAAAAAAAATCAGTGGATCAGCCAATCCATTTAACAAGTTAAGCCAGTCTAGAAAAATTACAGCAAATTCACCCTTATCTGAGCACAAATAACTCTGCATAGGGCCACTAAAAAAATATAACGCCAGAAGAATTACTCACGATTGTGTGATAAAAAATTTTGTTTGTGTGACTGAACCTTCTTTAGTAACGGTTCCCTTTACCACATCCAATCCTAAATCTTTTAATGCTGTCATCTGCACCAGGAAACCAAGCCTACTCAATAACTTAAACTTATCAAAGTTACAATAACTGAACAGAGTAAAGATAACAAAAGTTTCAACAAAAATAACAAAAAAAGATAACAGAAGATGAGCTCAACAGCAAAGCCTCCAAGAGAACAGGATTTTTTTTCTGGTCAAAAGAGAACAGGATTCAGGAAGATGAGAAACCATACTACTGATACAGAGAAAGTATGTATATCAGATAAGATGCCCAGACAATCTACTTAAAAATAAAAAATGTCTAATGATTTGTGAATAGTTTTCAGTGAGCATCCACTAGTCAACATGTTTGACTGCCTATTTTACAAATAAAAAGTGCAAATACTGTGCACATACAATGCTCAAATAAACTATCTTATGTTTGATTGCCAGATGCCAGCATCTAATCAGTAGCTTTTTATGAGAAACACATCAACTGATATAAAGAATGAGGAGAAGATGTGAAGGGGGTCAAAATGATAGGCTTTATTAAAGTGATAAGCCCAAATCTCCTCCCACAATTTCTCCAAATTATGTGCAACACTTTGGATTGAATTTGCATATGTGTGGTATAAAAATCATATAGGCCTCTTGCCACTTTCCCTTGAGGCACTAACAGAGTATTTATCAGTATAAGATGATGCTCCAGTAGTAGCAACATAAATTTATGGAACAATGTACAGCATCAGTGATTCAGTGATACTTCACCGTGTCAATGAGAGCACCAAGGCGATCTCCAAAACTAATTTCAACAATAGTTGCATCAGAATCTGAATCTTGATCAATCAGAACTATTGGCACCGGTACATAATCAGCACCCTGCTCAGACTTCTGAAATGGAAAAATATTCCCAGTCTTACAAAGTTGGCAATTGATACAACCTAAGCAAAAGAACAGCCCTATTATAGAAAAATAAGAACAATGCAAATATACATATCTTTACAGTATATACATTGCTAATTTAGACTTCAAGAGCTATTAAGTGTGTAGTATCGTTTAAATCGTTAGCTGGATATGCACATGCTATGTGACACTGGATCAAAATTCAAATTAGAAAACGTTGGTTGACACCTCACATGATACAGTATGATGAAAGGTGCCAGCAAGTGCACCTGTAAAAAAACACTCCAGGCTTACAAAAATTATTCCAATTTTCAAAACGGGAGGGGAAATTAGGGGGAAAAAAATAAACACAGGTTGTCCCTAGGTAGTCGTGCAAGAGACTGATTATCGAATTTTGCCTTCATTGAGGCTGGGGTGTGGTGTTTCTGTGTGTGTATGTTGTGTGAATAAGGGACGGCAACCCATCATTGTTACTTGTGTACTAATATTAAAAGAACAACGGAAATACGAGAAAGACTGTTATCAGCTGAGATAACGGAAAAGACCAAGAAGGTTAGCGAAATGCCTTACTATAACAATAGGGAACAAACATGGCATAATGTAGAGGTGCAGAAGTGGAAAAGGCAGTACATTTTTGCAAGAAACAGGGCATACATTGTACTTGTGAATTGCATGAATTCACTAAAATTAGGCCATTTTCAGATTAGAGCATGTCAATGACAAAAATGCTACCGGAGCTCACAATATAATTCTAGCACTTGTTACAAAGAAAATATAATTCAAACAAAATGTCACAGGGAAAAATTAAATGCTAACACCTACAGCGTCAAATTACAGATATACAATTTTCCATGGTAAACTTAACATCACGAGCCATAGAAGATATGCTTGCAAAGTTCTATCCAACAAGAAACATAATAGATAATGAGCAGCAAAACTNAGAAAAGACCAAGAAGGTTAGCGAAATGCCTTACTATAACAATAGGGAACAAACATGGCATAATGTAGAGGTGCAGAAGTGGAAAAGGCAGTACATTTTTGCAAGAAACAGGGCATACATTGTACTTGTGAATTGCATGAATTCACTAAAATTAGGCCATTTTCAGATTAGAGCATGTCAATGACAAAAATGCTACCGGAGCTCACAATATAATTCTAGTACTTGTTACAAAGAAAATATAATTCAAACAAAATGTCACAGGGAAAAATTAAATGCTAACACCTACAGCGTCAAATTACAGATATACAATTTTCCATGGTAAACTTAACATCACGAGCCATAGAAGATATGCTTGCAAAGTTCTATCCAACAAGAAACATAATAGATAATGAGCAGCAAAACTAACACAATAACATGAAACATGCATCACATGTTCAGGAATAAAAGATGTTAAAGGAGCTTTTGACAAATCTGACCATTTTCTCTAAACCCCATTTCAAAAGCGTAGGATGGCATAGAAAAGAAGCTAATTAAGTTCTTAGTCAAAAGAATTTGGAAGTTTGGTTTCTGATCATGGTTTTTTACTCTTTCAGTTTTACTTTCATTTGCATTTTTGTGATGCTGCGTTTATGGACTCTGATTTTGTTCAGGTTCTAGTCCTAGACAGATGGTCTATGCACATTAACAATAAAACCTACTAATTTTAAATGGTTAGTTGCACTTATTCTTATTTTCGATGTGCGTAGTTCTAATTGAGAGATGACCTCAACCCATTTCAGAATACACTGCTAAGCCAACCACTATCCCATCCAAGGTCCAAGCCTTTCCTTTATTTAACTCATAAGACTCAAACTCCTACAACTTTGCTAACTGTAAAAAAATAAGACACGTCTTAAGGAGCTCAAACACCGAGAACTGCAAAAGCATGAAGCTGTTTATGGACCTTTAAATGTAGAAGTTCCCGACAAACCCCAAGAGATTGTATGAAGTTATCAACAAGTCAAGATGTTCAACGCAAGAAACTAGGTTTGCATGACATTGTCCCCTCAACCAGTAACTCAGTACTACTTAGCAAAACAAAGGAAGCAATATTTCAGGTTCAAAGTATTTCACACATTAATTAAGTCACTACAGAGAAATGTGACATAAAGTTTGTTTGTGCATAACAAGAGAGTTCCTTTGCGAGATCAGACAAAATCAAGAATTTGGAATAACATACAAAACCACTATCAAAATTGGAGAGGCAAGAAGTGTTGGACTGACCAATGAGGTTGAACCCACTGAATCCACGCCATCGATTGAAGCATGTACAAAGCTCCTACATAAACAGTCCAACCATAGTTTACAGTAAATGACATGTCATCACAAGTACCTTTTCTAGTTTTATGCTTCTCATTGGAGGTAGTTGATACCACCAAAAATAAGAATATACTCAAAAACTACCATAGCATACACCAAAAATAAATTAAAAAAAACATTAGCTAAAGGCTTCGGAATGCCATTTCATTGAGAATAGATAAAAGTAAACCAGTGACTTTTTGGAAGCTGAAAAGGCAACTTCACTTCTATTTCTAAAGACAGCCCACCAAATTCCTTGCATTAAACATTAATCTAAAATTTCAACTTATATGGCCAAAATATAAGTAATCCAATGAAAGAAACGACTAAATGAAACAGATTTTAAAAGTAAAATCACAGGAAGAAGTAAGTTATAATCATGCAAACCTGTACAAATATACGATACCAACCATGATATCCTGCATACTTATCTATAGCCTCCGAAAAAACAATTCTACTTAGCGAGGGAAAAAAAGAACATAATTAAATTGATTTGACCACCACTCCAACATCAAATTACTTCATGTCCCTCAAAACACCTCAATTAATTGAGCAGATGTTGTTGAGGAAAACCAAGTTCAATCACGAAATGAGCAACCAAAATTTTCATTGGTTAGTACTTAACAAACCAAAAACTTCAGTAAACAACAATTGTGTTACAGTCAAAGGCACTACAGGCGATAAATAAATTAATTTTTTCTCAGAAAACAAACAGTAGATTAGTGAAGGATCAGAGATTTTATTTTCCCTTACTTTCTGCTGGAAAAGATATTTACAGGTTGTAACAATCCATGCCGAATTGGGAGAAAACTTGATGGTTCCAAGACAGAGAATTGACGATAGGAACCGAAATCGGAAGCCCTAGGTCGACGGCANGCTGGAAAAGATATTTACAGGTTGTAACAATCCATGCCGAATTGGGAGAAAACTTGAAGGTTCCAAGACAGAGAATTGACGATAGGAACCGAAATCGGAAGCCCTAGGTCGACGGCGAGACAAGGAGGGAGTGAAAAAAGCGTAGGCGATGGCCATGGAAAAGAAAATCGGAGTCTGTGGAAACGTTTGCCGGCGATATATGACACCGATCAAATGGAAATGAGCCTTTGAGGCATATGTTAGGAATAATTACACTTGGTACCCCTAAACTAATTTGAACTTCCCAATTTATACCCTCGTAGTTCAAACAAATTTACTTTATACCCACTTCAAATGTTATACATGACAGCAATGCTATGTGACCCACAAGCTGTGCTCTGAGATATACGCGCTGATTTTTTTTACTAATTTACCCTTAAGCTTAACACACTTAGTCTTTGAGGATATAAATTGAAAAATGTTCATAATTAATGTTAGTGATTAGACCATAATCTAAAAACTAATTACANACCCTCGTAGTTCAAACAAATTTACTTTATACCCACTTCAAATGTTATACATGACAGCAATGCTATGTGACCCACAAGCTGTGCTCTGAGATATACGCCTCTTTGCTGATTTTTTTTACTAATTTACCCTTAAGCTTAACACACTTAGTCGTTGAGGATATAAATTGAAAAATGTTCATAATTAATGTTAGTGATTAGACCATAATCTAAAAACTAATTACGTTGAAAGTGTAATATAAAACTTTAGACTTTGAGGGTATAACTTAACAATATTCAGATCTTATAAAATGGAACGAACCATTGGCTCTATATATTATAATCTTGTTTAATGGACATCTGTTGGCTTATGCTAACTTTGTCCATATATCTTGGCTAGCGGAGTGGGTGTAGAGAATTTACATCCCTTTACCATCTCACTCCCATCGTGACCATCACCCCACTTCCCATTTCTTATTTTTATATTTATGATTTTGAAATAAATTATTTTTTAAGTATTTATAGCAAAATAAAAAGTAAAAAANTTGGCTTATGCTAACTTTGTCCATATATCTTGGCTAGCGGAGTGGGTGTAGAGAATTTACATCCCTTTACTATCTCACTCCCATCGTGACCATCACCCCACTTCCCATTTCTTATTTTTATATTTATGATTTTGAAATAAATTATTTTTTATGTATTTATAGCAAAATAAAAAGTAAAAAATAAATAAATGGACTTTTTGGGGAAATTTGAGAGGATTGATTATGTGGAAAAAACGAACAATTTTGGGAATTATTATATAGACAATGTGATAGGATTTGAATGGAGAACTCTCTCCCAACAATTTCATAATTTATTATATGAAGATTGATTGAATAAAAGTAGTGAAAATTGGCCATTATAAGCTCATTTCAGTCACCTATTTTGTCAATTATTTCAAGTAAAAACTTTTTTAATTCATTAAATTTAAGTTAACTGACCATTTTTGTCCTGGTACAAACTAATTATATCACTTTTTACTTGTTACGAGAATGTCCCATTTGGTGTTTAACACAGNCACCTATTTTGTCAATTATTTCAAGTAAAAACTTTTTTAATTCATTAAATTTAAGTTAACTGACCATTTTTGTCCTGGTCCAAACTAATTATATCACTTTTTACTTGTTACGAGAATGTCCCATTTGGTGTTTAACACAGANACCGAAATCGGAAGCCCTAGGTCGACGGCGAGACAAGGAGGGAGTGAAAAAAGCGTAGGCGATGGCCATGGAAAAGAAAATCGGAGTCTGTGGAAACGTTTGCCGGCGATATATGACACCGATCAAATGGAAATGAGCCTTTGAGGCATATGTTAGGAATAATTACACTTGGTACCCCTAAACTAATTTCAACTTCCCAATTTATACCCTCGTAGTTCAAACAAATTTACTTTATACCCACTTCAAATGTTATACATGACAGCAATGCTATGTGACCCACAAGCTGTGCTCTGAGATATACGCCTCTTTGCTGATTTTTTTTACTAATTTACCCTTAAGCTTAACACACTTAGTCGTTGAGGATATAAATTGAAAAATGTTCATAATTAATGTTAGTGATTAGACCATAATCTAAAAACTAATTACGTTGAAAGTGTAATATAAAACTTTAGACTTTGAGGGTATAACTTAACAATATTCAGATCTTATAAAATGGAACGAACCATTGGCTCTATATATTATAATCTTGTTTAATGGACATCTGTTGGCTTATGCTAACTTTGTCCATATATCTTGGCTAGCGGAGTGGGTGTAGAGAATTTACATCCCTTTACTATCTCACTCCCATCGTGACCATCACCCCACTTCCCATTTCTTATTTTTATATTTATGATTTTGAAATAAATTATTTTTTATGTATTTATAGCAAAATAAAAAGTAAAAAATAAATAAATGGACTTTTTGGGGAAATTTGAGAGGATTGATTATGTGGAAAAAACGAACAATTTTGGGAATTATTATATAGACAATGTGATAGGATTTGAATGGAGAACTCTCTCCCAACAATTTCATAATTTATTATATGAAGATTGATTGAATAAAAGTAGTGAAAATTGGCCATTATAAGCTCATTTCAGTCACCTATTTTGTCAATTATTTCAAGTAAAAACTTTTTTAATTCATTAAATTTAAGTTAACTGACCATTTTTGTCCTGGTACAAACTAATTATATCACTTTTTACTTGTTACGAGAATGTCCCATTTGGTGTTTAACACAGAAACTCTCGTCAATTCCATAGCAATCAAGGTCATTCGCCTCCATAGTTATCTAAAGGGGTAACAAAGTATAACCACGTGTTTCATTGTAATAATACACGTAGGGTCTGTTTGTTTGAACTATAAAATTTAGGTGGTATAAAATTTTATATTCATTTCACTCCGATCCAATGGTATATTATATCCAGTCTTAAACTATAATCTCATCATTTTCCTTGTTTGTTTGTCACAAACATTATCTGTGTAATACCTACTTAAAAAAGTCAAAAATTACAACTACTCAATATAAAAAGACAATTGTAACCTTCTAAAAAGTCAAAAATTGCAATTGACTTTTATATGGGTCATTGTACATGAGGACATTTGGGTCTTTTTACTCTATTATACCTTCATGAAATTTATACCGAGAATATTATACCACCAAGTAGGTGGTATTGCTTAGCACCATATATAAGGCATAAGAGTTATTGTTCACATCGGGTTAGTACTATGACCCGGAAATTAATACCGAATAAAAAATGTCAAACAAACAAGGTATAAGATAGGCTCTACGTACTATTTTTCTTATATCACCCCTTTATACCATTCTTATACCTCAAACAAACAACCTCGTACGTGACTAAGACACGCGTGCATTAAAGATATTGACGGTTCAAGANTACATGAGGGCATTTGGGTCTTTTTACTCTATTATACCTCCATGAAATTTATACCGAGAATATTATACCACCAGGTAGGTGGTATTGCTTAGCACCATATACAAGGCATAAGAGTTATTGTTCACATCGGGTTAGTACTATGACCCAAAAATTAATACCGAGTAAAAAATGTCAAACAAACAAGGTATAAGATAGGCTCCACGTACTATTTTCCTTATATCACCCCTTTATACCATCCTTATACCTCAAACAAACAACCTCGTACGTGACTAAGACACGCGTGCATTAAAGATATTGACGGTTCAAGATAGGACCGAGTTAGGCATCATTTTGATCAATGAGTAGGGGCTGGGCATCATTTTGATCACACTCTTTTACCTACGATTGAGGCTGAGCAGAGGTATATACATTATTTTTTTCTTGCCCTATTTGTTATGGAGCGATGTGTAGTATGGGGGAATTTTTGGGGTATGGTATATAAGAGATAGTGGTATCTAGGGGCTGGGGTGAGTTTTTGAAGATGTCGGGTAAGGGGGTAACTCCACTGATTCGTGAGATCTACTCCAATGCTGAACGTATGGATCCGAAGAGGTTTCGGGCTAAGGTGAGGGGAGTGAGTTTTGTCGTTGACTCCTTGATGATTTTGCGGGTGGCCAAGTTGAATGTTACATTGAGGAGGGGGCCACAGTGTATGACATGTAGGAGGGGGCTAGGGAGCTTACAGGAGATCCCCATTTTCTTTGGCTTTAGAGGGATAAGAAGCTGAACCGGGGACAATTGGTGGACAAGTACGAGATCCTTATTTGGATCTTAGTCGCTAGTATACTTCCATTAGCTCAGAAGAATCACATCTATCTAAAGAGGGCTAAGCTATTGTTTGCCATTAGGATTGGTCACACTTTTTGTCTGTCATCCATTCTGATGTCCAAGATGAAGGACACCACCAAGAATGCCTCTCTTCCATTTGGTTATTTAGTCACTTCAATTTGCATGGATAGGGGCATTAGGGTGATTGAGAACATGTTAAAGGAGAAGCACTCTAGGGTGCTATACAATACGACTTTGGTTAAGAGTCGTGGAGCCATGGATAGAGGCGCAGCTCCGATGCCCAATGCGGATGAGCCTGGTGAGGAGGAAGAGGCATATGACCCTATTGATGATGGAGAGGAAATAGTGGGTCCATTGATGAGAGATCGTGTAGATGGATGTTATAATAGAGGGGAAAAGACAGATCATGAGTACTCTAACAGAGCATAGCAAAATTCTGCTTCGCCCATGGCTTGGACTACATGATAGGGCGGGCCCATCTTCTTAGATGATTATTGGGTTTTTTGTTATTTTGTGATATTTGCATTTGCTTAGTAGTGTTTTAGTATAGGATTGAGTCAAAGCCCCCAGTCCTAAGTAGTAGAGTCAGGGTTTTACTTACTTAGTTTGCTTTTGTTTTAAGTTAAGAGTTTGTAATGAAAATCCATTTTGACTGATAGATATATATATATATATATATATATATTATGGTTTCGTTGCAAGAAATTTGAATATTAATCTGACAATTGATTTGAATTATGTGCATATGGTAAGATTAATGATTGGATGGATAGTATTTAATAAAAATCTGAACTTGTTTATACTTTAGTCAATTATAGAACTCTAGACTATGCTTTAATATTATAGATTTTATTCTCAATTGAAACTTAAAATATCAGTGCACTTATGACCATGTTTGTATTAGAAATTAGGAAAATACACTTTTC